CGGCAACCTCCGGCGGCAGTTTTCATGATTCCGTGAAAATTTTCGATTTTGCTCGGAAGGTCCCTGATTCAAATTTCGGCCAGGAATCGTCTGTCCTAACAACGGCGCTTAGTGGTTTTCTTAGTCCCTGCCGGAAAGCGTCGTGATATTACTTTCAGCCAGGCCAAGTCCATATCGCTTCCAATTCATTATTCATTAATCGCTCTGTCATTCGATGCGATTTATTCTAATATCCTGAAAGTGTCGTTAACACGAATAGACATATATGTAAACAAGCAGATACATAAGCAAATATACCCCTCCCCCCTGACAACTTGTTGCAATGTCGTAAAACAACCCAGCACTGGCGCGACTAGGCGCGTGCGGCGTGTTGAGTGTTGTCGCGCGCGGCTGTTATTTGTATTGCTTTTTATAGGTCCGAAACCCACTGACGCGGCTATGAAGTTATTATTTCTGTACTTCGCAATGAATTAAGCCCCTGAAGTACAGTCCTCTTACCTGAATTATGGTCGCAAATATGAAGGCAAATGACAGGAACACGAAGAAGTCCAGCGCTGTCGGGTATGGTACTTTTGGTAGATCGGTCCGAGCTTCAAGGCCCAGGAATGTCATTGTTAGAACAGTTGTTATACCTGCGAAGCGGAACATTGCAGCGCTGAGTATTATGGGAAGTGTTGACTGATGATGAAGGGAAGTGGATTCTTTCACGCCAGGGGCACTGGCGATTACAGCCCACGCCCTCTTCAGATCGCCGTAGTTTCGAGCTCTTCTTCTACCGAGGTCACCGGTCAGTGTTAGCTCCGAATTTACGGTGTAGAAGAATGCATTTTCAGGTAACACACATGAAAGATACAGGCCTGCATCTTAGAATGAACGAGTATACACTGTGTCTTGTAGACTAATTACAATTGAACCTTGTGCAGTTTTGGTCTGTAATCCATGATGTGAATTTTTCTTCAGAAAACAGAAACTGGAAAATTCTTTAAATACATCCTAAACATTCTAATGGTTTACACTCGTTTAGTATATAAATGTTATATATGTATATTCAGTTATTTCCAAGCCATATTGTCCTTCTTGAGAAGCTAATAGTCGCTCAGTTGGTCTAGAAATTCCCCGTACTGTATGAACCTTGGAGGTTCATTACCGTGTTCACAATAGCCCATCGCTATTCCCTATCCTATCCTGAACCACAGGAATAAGTCACCGTCCCCACCTTATTCAAAAGGATCATTTTTTAATATTATTTTCCATCAACATTTAGGCCTTTCAAGCGGTTTCTTCCCTTCATATTTTGTGTGCATCTCATTTCTTCCATGCGTGCTATAAATCCCGCGCACAAACACAAGGAGAGGAAAATAGCCACTAATGATGAACCTGATCTGTAAACCGCGGGTTTGCTATGATGCGTAGTTTGCACAGTACATAGGCGAATCAGAAGACGTCATGTTGTGATACTTGTGGCACTTTTGTAGTGAACATCCTGGTGTGCACCCAGAAGGATCAGTATTCAGAGTAAACGAGGCATACTCGTATTTGAAGCACGCTGGAAGAGTACTTTGAATTAATTTAATGGTGATAGATGATCATTATAAGCTTCTGACGATCCTTGCACGCTGCAAGCTCTGTTTGCAGGTTGAGAGGGAACGAATGCTTATTCCATTGTAAGAGAAGGCAAGGTCAATCATAGGGAAGGCATAGGCTGCACCAAACTCGTGAAGTATTTCGTGACTTTTTTATCGTCGAAACGTAACAGACATTATTCATGTAAGATTTGAGGTTTTCACAGCGGTGAGTATGAAGATTTCTGTCTTCTGTTGTTGCGCTGTGTAGTCTGGTCAATGTTTACCAACGTTTCAGAGGTCATACTGC